GTTTGTTTAGTCTGGAAAAGAGAAGACTGAGGGGGGACATGATCACAGTTTTCAAGTACATAAAAAGTTGTTACGAGGAGGAGGGAGAAAAAATGTTCTTAACCTCTGAGGCTAGGACAAGACGCAATGGGCTTAAATGACAGCAAGGGAGGTTTAGGTTGGCCATTAGGAAAAACTTCCTGTCAGGATGGTTAAGCACTGGAATAAATTGCCTAGGGAAGTTGTGGAATCTCCATCACTGGAGATTTTTAAGAGCAGGTTAGACGAACACCCAGGGCCAGCGCAACCATTTAGGCAAACTAGGCGGCCGCCCAGGGCGCCTAGTGGTTGGGGGTGCCTAAAAGCCTGCTCAGGCGAGGAGGTGGAGTGGAGGTGAGCTGGGGCGGGGGAGGGGGCACGGGGAGGGCCGCCCGCAGTAACGGGGGGGGGGCGCACAGGGGAACTGCTCCCCGCCGCAGATCACCTCCAGTCTCTGCCTCCTCCGCTGAGCACACAGCCCCCGCTCTAAGTCTCCTCCAATCGGCGCCGCAAGCCTGTGAGGGGAGGAAAATTAGAGCGGCGCCGGCGTGCTCAGCGGAGGAGGCGGAGCCAAGGTGAGCTGGGGTGAGCCAGGTGGGGTTAGCTGCCGCCGGGAGGGGGGGGGTTTAGCTGGGTGAGGGGGGGCGCAAGGTGGAAGTTTTGCCTAGGGCGCGAAACTTCCTTGCACCGGCCCTGCGAACACCTGTCTGCCAATAGCATGATTTTGGAGGAGATTTTTAACAGCAGATTAGACAAACACCTGTCTGCCAATAGCATGATTTTGGGGGAGCGGGGGGGGGGGGGTGGCTGACTGATGATTTCTGAGCATTCAGGGCTGACCGTGCAGCTGATGGAAAATAGATTGTAAACTCTCTGGGGAAAAGAGCGTCTTTTGGTCCGTGTTTGTACCCAGTGGGGGCCTGGTCTGTGTCTCCTTGCCGCTACCATGATAATAATTAATGATAAGTGGATGCTAGTTTCGCAGGGGCCCTTCCCCTCTGTGTGGCCCAGCTCAGCTGCCTTCTCTGGGCAGTGGGGCTGGCCGGGCTCGGCCCTTCCATGCCCCAAGTCACTTGGATGCTAAGGATAACGCCCCATGGAAACAAATGCCTAAGAACAGCAGCCCATGATGGACCACTTACCTGCCCCAGGTGAGCAGGGCTAGGCTCCTCCCCCCGGAGCCCATCCTCCAATGGGAGCAGCAGGTTGGCCCCGCCTATCCAATCAGGGGGCGGGGGCGGGGGCGGCTCAAGATGGCTGCGTCCAGGCAGCCGCCTTTCTGCCACGTGGAGTTCGGCGGGGCGGTGGCTGCCCGGGAGCCGCCGGAGGCTGCCCCCGAGGGGCTGGAGGCCGTGTTCCCCCGGGAGGTCGGGCTCTTCGCTGACGCCTTCCCCGAGGAGACCCGCTACGGCTTCTGCGGCCACGTGTTAACCATCGCCCAGCACCACGGGGCTCGGCTCGGGGTGGCAGCGCCCGTCTGGGAGGCGGTGAGGGTCAGGGGGCAGAGGAGCCCGGTGGGGGGGGGGGAGTGGGGGGGGGGGGGTGGGGGGGGGGGGGGAAGTGGGGGGGGGGGGTTGGGGGGTGGGTGCAGGGGGGGGGATGGATGCCCTAAAGTACAGGGGGAGGATGAGCTGGGAGATTAGGAGGATCTGGGGAGGGCTGGCTTGGAGGTGGTGAGAGCAGGGGCGGAGGGGTCGAGGGGGAAAAGTTAGGATGTTTGGCAAGGAGGTGGGAGGAGCTGGAACTTGGGAGTTGGCTGGAAACCTTTGAGCTCTGGGGCTGGGGCATCCCATAGCACATGGAGCTGGGGCTGGTGGTGGCTGTGTACAAAGTGGTGTCCCCCCCCCCCCCCAGTGCCTGTAGGGTGTCTTGGTGCTCCATTCACGGGGAGTGGCTGGTTCATCAGATAAGGTGGGGGCTCTCTGTGCGGCTCAGGAGATGTCCCTGGCCTTGGGAAGCTGTAGCCTCTCAATTGTTCCTCTACCCCAGAATTCCTGTTCTCTAGCTGCAAATCCCATCCATTTTAGGAGCTTCTGTGGAAGATCAGACTCGTGGCCCATCTAATTCAGAATCCCATCTTTGTCAGTGGCCAGTACTTCAAAGACAGGTGCAAGAAGCCCTGTAACAGGTCATTAAGAAATAACCAGCCTGGAGGGGAAGTTTCTCCCTAAATCTGCCAATTAAGAGTCAGTGCAGGAGGATCTGTCTCCCTTATGCTTTTGTTTTCCTGTCTTGTATATCACCGGATGGCCTCGTTCTCCACCTGTCCGTCTGCTCTTCTCATCTCTGCGCCGAAGGCTCTAACCCTGTGTAAATATTTTGAGAAGCAGAAGCTCAACTTCTGGGGCAAGAAGGTGATTGAGCTGGGCGCTGGGACAGGCATCGTGGGCATCCTTGCCACCCTGCTCGGTATGTACAGTTGCTTCACAGCGGAGCTGAAACATTGGGAGAACAGGGGGGCAGTCATGCATCTGATCTGTGACATTTCTAATCTACCTATCACCATAGTGTCTAACCACCTAAATGGGACCTGATGCGGACGCGCTGTACAGAGAGACCTGTTGAGGTTTTGTAACTGGCCTGCTGGCGACAGTTCGCAGGTGTGCCCAACTTTGCTTATCTCAAGATGGCATCAGCAGCTTAGTGAAAGTCCAAGGGCATCATCTGCTTACAGCGTGGCAAAGATAACAGCTGTTCCCCTATTTAGTACAGCTTGTAGGTTAAAGAGGAGGGCAGCTGCCGGCTCAGTGTGCTGGGCCTCCCCCTAGCCCTGCATTAGCTGGTATGTATAGCCAGCCTGGGGATGGGAAATATGGATCTGTTGCATGGTCATGGATCCAGGAAGCCAATGAAAATCCTGCAACATCTGGATAATGCGTACTGGGAGGGTTGGATTCTCCTCCTAACCAACATCCATGCCTTCTGGGTTGCTCTTGTCTTTTCCAGGAGGAGATGTAACCATCACAGATCTCCCTCTGGCTTTGGAGCAGATACAGGAGAACGTCCATAGGAATGTGCCTGCAGAACATTTGGCTCGGGCCAGAGTTTGTGCTCTGGCTTGGGGTCTGGACCATGAGGAGTTCCTGAGAGACTACGACTTCATCCTGGGTGCAGACATAGTCTATCTGAAAGATACGTACCCCATGCTCATCAGGACCCTCCGGCACCTCTGTGGCCCTCATTCAACCATCTACCTGTCTTCCAAAATGCGGCAGGAGCACAGCACGGCTGTGTTCTACGAGGCGCTGCTCCCGCTGCACTTCACTTCAGAACTGGCCTATAGGGATGAAAATGAGAACATTAACATCTATAGAGTCACCAGCAAGCAGAATAGCTGAGGTTAGGGAAGACCTTTCTCCCTGGCTGGAAAGGGACAGACCCAACATGGCCTTTGGCTTTTCCAAACTGAGAGCTATGATCCCAGCTGAGTGAGCCACCAGCAGCCAAAATGGAGCACGCAGTGTGGGTGCTGACTTTGCCTAGTTGAGGCAGATTCCTCCTTTCTGCCAGCAATGTGGACCCAAGATGTTACCACCACCACCACCACCCTCCAACCTGGGGAGAGAAGCTGGGTTTTAGCTTTTCCCCAGACCTGGAGACAGCGTTTCTTGCCGTCAGTGGAAGTTCTAAAAGCAAAGATCTTTAAGAGGATGGCTGTTTTAGGCCCATCCCTGGAACCCTGGCCTTCCAAGCCAAAAGGTCTTCTGCCACTGAAGCAGGCCCAGTGACTTGAAGCAACCATCAAGCGCATTAAATGTCTCTTAAGAGACACCATGGTGCCTTGTTCCTATAATGTGGCTAAATATATTTTTTTCATAACTTTTCATATTTGAATTAAAGATGGATTTCATGTGTCACTTCTCCTTGGGAATGGTGAAGGGGAAAAAAGAGTTAAAATCAAACTGTAAATGACTACAACCTATTTTGTACACCTGCACCCTGTCTTGGGTTAGGCTTTGGAGCCCTAGCTGGCAGTGCAGCTCTGCTTATGCGCCGGACACATACCTTCTCTTGAGGTAATGAAGGCTCTCCCTTGGGTTTTATTTAAGTAGAAATGGATGTGTGAGCGCTCAGCATCTTAAATGTTGCAGGCGCTAGAGGCTGCCCATGCTGTGGGAACCACCCCCGGCCTCTGCCCCAGGCACAGCCACTTTCTGCGGAGGAGGGAGGGAGGGAGGGGCACTTCCTTGGCTGCTGATCAGTGTGTCAGCTACCCCTGTGTACACCCTTCACTTTTACCCAGCAGGGGCTGTGACTATACCGCTGGATGCTTTCCAAGTGCTGATACCTCCCTCGTAACTACATCGCAATGTTCCCTTCCGGGAGAAAGCCTTGGGGCTCCGTTGAACAGGCATGTCCGTATGTACAGGAGAGGGGTTTTGCCAGAAGGTACCCGGGAAGAGGCGAGAGGACTTGCACTGATTGGGAAAGGTCCCTCGCTTCTGCTCTGCACCCTGAGTGTGTTACACGGGGCCGCTATGACTCCAAGGGGGCAATGAGCAATTGGCCCACAGCGCAGTATGGGCTTGGCTTTACTGCCTCCTCCCGTTCTATGGGGTAGTGGTCAGGAAGGGGAGAGCGCAGGCTCTAGGATAGGGCCGCAGGACGCCTGGGTTCCATTCCTGGCTGGGGGAGGGGAGGCAGGACGCCTGGGTTCCCTAGGTGGGAGGGGCATGGGCTGGAGGTATGGGGGGGGGGGGAAGGGTGGCCTTGGGGGGGGGGGGAGAAATGCCCAGGAGGTGGGTTGTCCCGCCCTCCCTGCTCCAGCAGCCAGCCAATGAAACGGCTCGTTCCTTCCCCCGCCTCCCTGCCATTGACTTCTGTCGTCACCCTCTGCGACGGCCAATCGGCTCCGCGAGGGTTTCCGGCGGAGGAGGAGGAGGCGCGGGTGGGGCACCCCTTGCGCACGCGCCCGTGGGCTGGCTGCCGACGCCGGCGCCTATAGGCTGCGCGGTGTGTGACGTATAACGTGCGCGCCGTGGCGTCCGGCCCCGGCAGGGAGCGGGGATGCAGAGGGCGGCGCTGACCGGAATTTGCGGCCTCCTGCGCGGGGGGGCCCGACCGGGGCCGGTGAGGGGGGCAGGGGGGATAGGCCGGGGTTTGCCCTCCCCCCCCGGGGAGCTGGTCCCAGCCCCATGGCTTCCCTGTGCGCCCCCGTGCCCTCGGCCCCTCCCGTGGAGGCCCTGGGGGGGGGCGGAGCAGGACGCCTGGGTTCCCTCCTCAAACCCACCCCCCCGGACTCGGGGTATGGGGCTCGCTTCCGCCCTCCCGAGCCTGGGGCACGGTGACACACACACACCCCTTCCCCAGGTGAGGCGGCACTGGGAGACCCCTGCGGTGAGGCGGCCTGGTGCTGGCCCGGGGAGGCCGTCACTGGAGCCAGGTGCTGCCCCAGCCCAGCCCGAGGGCCTTGTGCGGGCTCCTCCAGTCGCGGGGTGTCAGCCTGTGCATACACTCGCAGCAGGAGGCAGTAAGGAGCATGAAGCCAGTGGGAGCAAATGAGAGGAATGGGTTACATAGCAGGGGGCTGAGCTAAGTTAATGCTGAGATAGACAACAGGGCTGGGGGTTGGTCACCCCCAGCGCAATCATTCCCAGCCTGAGGCTGTTCCTTACCCCTTTCTTCAGCATCCAATGGGCCTCTCCTGCATGGGACTTCAACTTTTATCTTCTCCCCGCCAGCAGGTCGTTTCCTGGCAGCTGGTTTGTCTCTTTCACACTGGTCTCCGTGCCTTTGCGGCCGATAAGGAGCTGCTGGTGAAGCTCAGGAGGAAAACCGGTTATTCCTTCGTGAATTGTAAGAAAGCCTTAGAGAAGTTCAGTGGCGACTCCAAACAGGTGAGAGCTGCTTGAACGTCACCCTGACCTTGCACTGAATTTCAGTGGGATTTGGGTACCTGACTCCCTTAGGTGTCTTTCAAAATGTCAATCTGAGTGAGTTGAGACTAGAATTCCTACTTGGGTGGGGGGAGGGTGGTGCACTGCATTCAGGTGTATAAAAACAAAGGAAGGATATATTTAAAACCAAGCGGTTCCTCTTACTTACCTCAGTCCATACTAAAGGAGATGGTGCATAGATACCAAGGCAATAGGTTTCATTGCGTTTCTGTTGTAGTCATTATGTAGGATTCTCTCCAACGGGCATTGATCATTGAAGGCTTGATTTTTAAAAAGGTCTGGATAATGTTGTGATCTCTATAGCTGTACAAGCTGACACTGAAAGAAACATGGGGAATTTAGTTTCCTGCTCTCAAGGCATAAGTAGATCAGCGACAGAAGGTCAGAAAGACGACATCCCTAATACATAATGCCTGGAAATCCACCCAAAACATATTGCCAAACTCATTAATGTCATCCTCACCCCCATGATCACCCCATTTAACAACACTGTCCAAACCAGGGGAACAGCCATGGGTTCTGGTGTGGCTCCCCACTTTACCAACCTCTTCATGGACCGTCTCAAGGAAGAATTTCTGGAAAAATGCACCATGAAACCAACAAAATATCTGAGATACTTCAATGATATTTTCATCCTCTGGGCAAAGATCTAAATTCCCTTAATTTCCACCACAACTTCAGCAACCACCACCCATCCATCAAACTCTCTAGAACGCACCCACACGGACATCAGCTTCCTGGACACCACAATCCGCGTCAACAATGGGATCCTACTAACAGCTTTATAGAAGAAGCCACTGATCACCATGCAACGCAACCACTGCAGACACACCAAAAAATCTGTTATCTACAGCCAAGCACTCCGTTATCACAGAATTTGCTCCAACGAGAAAGTCTGGAATACACACCTAAACACACTTAAAGTTGCCTTCGCTAAACAAGAACACTCCCCCAGCAAAGTAGATCGTATCATGGAAAGGGACATCCAGATACCCTGGAAGAACCTGCGTCAATACATGAAAAAGAAACCCACTGACCTCACCTCCCTAGTTGTCACCTACTACCCCACACGGGAACCACTCTAGGTTATCATCAAACAAGTACAACCCATACTTGATGGGGACCATGTCCTGAAAGAAATGTTTCCTGAACCCCCTCTTCTGGCCTTTAAACAACTCCCAAGCCTTGCCAAACTCATCATCAGAAGCAAGCTCCCCACAGACCAGGGTGGATAAATATCAATGATTTAAAAAAAAAAAAATCCTTTTTTTTTTCATTTAAATTGGATTTTTTGATAAGTTTTTTTTCCCTCAAAAAGCATCTAAAGATAGTTTTAATTAAGATACATTATAGCTCAAAGATATCTCATCGTGGAATAGGGATTATAAATTCTAATTCTATAGTGAGACAATATATTCATGTAATGTTTAAGAAAAGTTTTGTGAATGAGCTCCAATAGTTCATGGATTAGGGATCCATACAGATTAGGCTTCTGTATAGATTATTTAGGTTAATCTTTCTATCTACCCAATGGGACTCAGTGCTCAGTCTAAAAGATACCATCAGAGATGCTTAGTTTTGCAGTTCTCAGACTATGGATTTGTGTCTCCAGAGATAACATGCTTGTTAACAGGAAAAATGTTTTTAAACAAAATAAATATATAGAGGTGAGAAATAAGACCTCAACGCTTTTGTTCCTCTGCAAATTTGTGTACACAGAGTCAATCTCTTACCTCTCTCTAAAATACAAAGTTTCAAAAAGTTCAATGAATAGAAGATGGTTCGGGGCGGGATAGATCTGGACAAGGAGAAGAAGTCTGGAGATAAATGTGAGAAGGGAGGGACAGGCAGAGAAACAAAAGTGAAGCTGTTTGAGCAGCGTATTCCAGAATGCACTTTTATGTAGAAATCCATGATTGAATAGAGTCTTCCTGACTAGTGATTGAAATCAATTTGATTTAAATCAAATCCACCCTGCCACAGACCAGGACACACCAACTCAAAAGCACCACCAGACCCTGCCAGAACAACAGATTCTAAACCTGCAGATACATCTCCACTGCTACAGTGATCAACACTCCCCAGCATACCTTTCAAGATTCACGGGTCCTACATATGCCTATTGCAACATGTGCTGTACCCCATCCAGTGCATCAAGTACCCCACTAACAACTAGATGGGTGAAACCAATCACTCAGCTCTTGAATGAATTCACCCAGAAAAATGGTATACAACAAAAGCACCGTATCACCTGTGGGTGAACACTTCACAAAGTGATTACTCCATATCTGATCTTTCAATACAGTCCTCAAGAGAAACCTGCCCAACACCTTCAAAAGGCAAGCCTGGGAACTGAAATTCATAACTCTGCTAGCCACCAAAAGCCATGGACTTACCAGAGATGCTCATTGCAACAATTTGTAACACACCTCACTGCTACTACTCTTAATTGCCCACTTAATGGGCAGCAGGTTTAAAACAAACAAAAGGAAGTTCTTCACACAGTGCACAGTCAACTTGTGGAACTCCTTGCCTGAGGAGATTGTGAAGGCTAGGACTATAACAGGGTTTAAAAGAGAACTGGATAAATTCATGGCTATTAGCCAGAATGGGTAAGGAATGGTGTCCCTAGCCTCTGTTTGTCAGAGGGTGGAGATGGATGGCAGGAGAGAGATCACTTGATCATTACCTGTTAGGTTCACTCCCTCTGGGGCACCTGGCATTGGCCACTGTCAGACAGGATACTGGGCTGGATGGACCTTTGGTCTGACCCAGTACGGCCATTCTTATGTTCAAACCCTTTATGCATAAGAATCTAACCCCCAATTGCCCACTTCATTTCAAGAGATCACCTCCAACATGCAATCTGTCCCAACTTGTATTTAGCTCAGACGGTCTGCTTTCTTTCCTAGACCTAAAGAAGAGCTCTGTGTCGCTTAAAAGCTTGTACCTTCCATCAACAAAAGTTGGTCCAATAAAAGATATTACCTCGTCTCTCTCATGTCCTGGGACCAACATGGCTACAAAGGCACTGTAAATAATCATCCCAAGTGGGCCAGCACCACACAGTTGGTCAGTGTCATGTTGGCTTGGGTTTCTTGCATTTTTTTGGAACTATTAGGACGTGGTCTGACCATTATGGTCTCTCCTATGAGGCAACTTTTCCACTTTCAGTGTTACAAAACTTAGGTCAAGCAGAGAGTTTGGTCTCTGAACTGAGTTTTGTTGGGTTCATCTTCTTGGTTTTGTCTTTAAAGGCTGAAGCCTGGCTGCATGAGCAGGCCCAAAAGGAGGGATGGAGCAAAGCTTCCAAACTGCAGGGCAGGAAGACAAAAGAAGGCCTTATCGGGCTGCTGCAGGAGGGGAACGCAGCAGTGATGGTGGAGGTAAGCTCCTCCCCTAGTGTGTGAGGGACCCTTTCCTTGGGATGGAGTAAGTCGTATTAACCTGGTAGCTTCCCCGTCCCTTGAGCTGGCCTGTGTGCATACATTCAAATCTTGCAGCTGTGAGTTGAACTAGGTTAAAATATGAAATAGACAAATCGGCCTAGTTAAATCCTGATTAACAGAGAATGTCTGGCATGACTGATACCACATGGATTCCTTTTCACTGTAGGACTGACTGAGGGTTTGTTTATTACTATTCTATTTAGAAACAGAGTCACAGGCAGTTCCTGCTCTGAAAAGGTGGAGGGCTTATTTCTGTCCCATCGGGTTGCTAACTTCCCTGACAGCAGCTCTGACTGCCGTAACGGCCACCCCTTAAGTGGAAGGGCAGCGGTCAGACAATGACTTCAGAATAATCAGCTGTTTCTCTCTACCAGGTGAACTGCGAGACAGACTTTGTGGCCAGAAATGTCAAATTTCAACAGTTAGTTCAACAAGCAGCAACTGGGACAATGTTCCACCATCAAGGCGCTAAGGACCAGTTAACCACATATATCAAGGTAAGTGAGATCTATCTAAAGTACTTATCCTCCCCATCTGACCACCTCTCTCTCTTTAATATATATTTTCCTCCCAACACCTCCGTGAGGTAGGGAAGTGCTATTGAGACACAAAGATATGGTGGCCTTGTCTGCACTTTGCCAATATAGCTCTGCTGACAGAGCCCCCTAGTGGAGACTCAGCATAGGCCGACAGAAGCACACTTCTATTAGCACAGTTGTGTCTACATCATAGAATATCAGGGTTGGAAGGGACCTCAGGAGATCTATCCAACCCCCTGCTCAAAGCAGGACCAATCCCCAGACAGATGTTTGCCCCAGATCCCTAAATGGCCCCCTCAAGGATAGAACTCACAACCCTGGGTTTAGCAGGCCAATGCTCAAAGCACTGAGCTATTGGGACTTTGATGTTACAACTATGTTGTCTAGGGGATGTGACTTTTTTTCACACCAACATAGCTATGTCAGCAAAACTTTGAGTATAGGTTTAGAGCAGATCTACACTAGAAAATTAGCTCGACCCAGCTACTTCGCTCAGGGGTGTAAAAACCCCACTCCCCTGACAGGTCAGCTTAACTATGTCGAAGGCCCGTGTAGCCAGCGTTAGGTCGACAGAATAGTTTTTCTGTCGACCTCGGTGCCGCCTCTTGGGCAGGTGGATTTACTACGTCAAATGCATCTCGCTGAAGTGGAATTCTCGCTGACGCTGGCCTGACTAAGACGTCCTTCCCAATCATGCGCATTCGGCCAAGCCACGTTGCTGGGATATGTCCCAGCGAAGCAGCTATCCCACCTCAAAATTCTTGTTTGAATTAGGGGACGTGAGGACGTGTTGGAGGAATTTGTTCTGCGTAATCTCCAATGTGTAGAAGTCGATTGACTAGGAGGTCATCTGGTGGTGCTGTGTGAGGATACACCGCGTGAGGCATCTCTTGGAGTTGCTGGGGGGGGGAGGCTACCGCTCTCCCAGAGTCAGGGGGCTTGCAGCGTAATCCGTTGTCTCTCGTCTCTTTCAGCGTTTCATGAAGGCAGCTGAGCTTTCTCAACTGCGGACCGGGCCTGCTGGATGTTTGCTCAGTGACCAGCTCGCTCTAGCTATAGGTGGGTGCTCTAGTACCAGCTGCCGGTTAGAAGATAGAAATCAGGGAGGCGATTGTGCGGCTTCCGTCAGCCTTGTGCGGGATTGACGGAGAAACCCCTTCCGCTGGGAGGGTTCCGCCTTGCGTTCACGGGGCTGGCTGCCATGAGTCTTGTCTGTTTCCAGCCTCGGCTTGTGCCGATGCCTCTGACAGCACTGAGGCTTAACTGGGGACCATTAAATTCTGTGACCTGTCCTATAACCACTCTCAGGCATTCAGAAGTAGTACTGCTGCAAAGTAGTTCAGAGGGAGTTTTCTGATGTGGGGCATCCCTTTAGGCTACTGCAATGTACTGTCATTCTAGCATTTCTAATAAGCAGTGAGCTAACCAAGCTCTCTCTTACAGAAAGGGCTTTTCTGTTTTTTTAAATGCAGGGGAGAGGGTCAGATACTGTGGGGACAGGCCTAGTACCTATATTGAGACAACTCTCCAGCCTTACAGTCCTTGAGCAGCAAAACTGCCAAGGAAACTGACATCTCAAAGGTGGGGCGGGAGAGGGCAGAAAGCGACAGCAAACGGCCCTGCCCCAGAACACTCAGCCTGATCTGTACCTTTAAAAGTGAAATAAGACCTGTTCTTGTTTTGGGTTTCTAAAGGTAAACTCGGGGAGAACATGGCTATCACGAGGGCTGTCTGGGTGGCCGTGCCAGCGACCTACTACATTGGCTCTTACGTCCACGGGGCGCTGCCAGCGGATAATCCCGCCCTCACTAACATGGCGCTTGGGAAGTATGGTGCCTTAGTGATCTGCCAAGCCTCTGACCAGAGCCAGAAGTCAAACCTTGCTGATCTAGGCCGGAGGCTGGGTCAGCATGTAGTGGGAATGGCCCCTCTGTCGGTGGGATCTCTGGAGGATGAACCTGGCGGAGACACGGAAACCAAAATGCTTGCCCAACCTTTCTTGCTGGACCCCAGCATTACCCTGGGCCAGTACGTGCAGCCCCAAGGTGTGTCTGTGCTGGACTTCGTGCGGTTCGAGTGCGGAGAGGACCCTGAGATACCAGAAGCGGAGCAGACGCAGCAACGTCTCACACAGGAAGAAAACGCTTCGTAATCTCACGTCTGCGGCCGTGGGCCGGGCGTTTACATATCGGATCAGTAAGGAAATAATGATGAGACGGGATCAATAGTGAATTAATCTCACATGTGCTGGACATTTAATACAGGGAACTTTTTTTGCAAAGCATTAAAGGACCTTGGTAACTGTCCTGTACTACGCCTATGAGGGCATTTTATATAAAATGGGCTGGCCTGTTTGTTTGTAGGGAAGTCAGCAGGGAGCGTTGGATCTCGGCTGATGCACGGACTGCTGGAGTCTATATTTAAATAATCTTAACCCTAGGGGGCCAGGATAGAGACCCGCTGGGGTTTAACCATTTAGACCAATATCCATCCACTGATCCCAGACTCTCCTACTCTTAAGCTACTCCCACAAAACCAGACTAGCCCCTTCACTCACATCCCCTCCCCTGGACAATAACAGTGTAGGGCAGCCAGCTAGCAGTGCTGCGGGGGTGTTGCCTTATGTTGCTTAGACCCACCCGAAGAACAGTTCCTTCCCCTGGGCACACACTATCCTGCCAGGAACCGAGTGATGTCTCAAGGGGCACAAGCTGTTTCTTCAGCAGGTGTAGCAGACCAGGGACATGTACGCTGCCCACTAGGAGCAAGGCCCCAGTGCTTGGCTAGCGAGCTGGAGAAGCTTCCACTTTGATTCCAGCCCAAACAGTAGTGAGTATTTGGCCTGTATGCAGGACTACCACCTTCCTCTTCAGCTGGCTCCAACCTGTGATAAAGGGGCCATGACCTTTGCCTGGAGGAAATTGTTTCAGCCTGTAATAGATCTCTGGCCAGGTGTGTCTCTGCTACAGCCACTCCCCTGGAGACAGAGCTGCAGTGCACGAGGGTGCATTTTGAGACATTGCTGCATCCAATCAAGGGGGAGTCTGATCAGTTACCGGCTGCAGCTGTGACACCTCACAGCCTTGGGGAGCTTGTAACTTGGTGACTCAGTTAAATGCCTGGCTGCTGAGGTGTAGCAGTAGGCTGGGATTTGTGGGTCTTGATTCTGTTTAAGACTCAACATGGACAGAGGCAAGACTAAAGAAATGGGGGTAAAGAACTTTTTGGCAGGTCCTAGGAGAAATCCACCTGGGCACTAGGGAATTAAGTGCAGGCCGCAGCACTGGTGGGTATCGCTCACACAGATTTGTCCACCCAGCTTGCTTGGTAGTAAGCATTCAGGCACAACATCTAGTTCATATGATACATCTTTATTTTTAAAAAATGACCCAGGCGGGGAGGTTACAGGCAGAAGATGTGCTAGAACTGGCCCTTCTACTGTTCGCAAACTAGCATTACCTGCGTGAGGTGTTCCTCTGGAGAGGAGATGCCAGCAGGTACAGTTGTCCTGCCAACAGCACTAAAGGTTGGAGACAATTGCTGAAGTTTGAAAGCCGGAGCTAGTGATACGTAGTATTTTGTTTTCCAGCCTCCTGCGCTTGGCCGGCCGGGGGAAGCTGAAATGCAGCCCGCATGCCTGGCTGCACTGCCACAAAGGAAATGACATTAAATGTGTATAAAAAGCTAAACTATCAGCTGATCGAATACACTTGCAAGAGTAAAAACCACCCCCCGCCCTCTCCTGTCCCTTACTGCATCGGTCCCAGGTGTAGTATAGCCCCGGTAAGCCAGAGCCCACCCCTATGATGTGGGGCTCTGGATGTTCTCTGCCTGTTGGCGGGGCGTGCCATTCTCTTCATTAGAAGAGCCCTTTTTCTTTCTTCAAGTTGATCTGCTTCCAGCTGGGAAGAGCAGCAAATTCCTCCCGCCCGATTCCAAACACAGCCACAAAGTCACTTTCGGAGAGGTAATTCTGGCAGAGAAAAGGCCGGGCAGATTAGCAGGGGTGGGGTGCGGTGCGGCGCAGTGGCCGCGGGAAGGTCATTTTGGAACCTAAGGGGGCGTAGCTAGGTAGGAAGGGAGGCCGGGCTGCTTTTCCGTAGAGCCGAGGGGGCGCTGGGCTGGGACTCGGGCTCCGGCAGCGGAAAGCCGGGGCTGCAGACAAGACAATTACTAAGAGGGGACAGAAGTTCATTGACTCAATGGAAGCCCAACAACCTGCTGGAACAGCCACTCCCAGGAGGTAGCAAGAGCCAGTGCAGTGGGTACTCGCTTCTCCCCCCTAGGCCTCGCCAATAAACCCTCAGCTCCTCCAGGGTGCTGCCGGCGGGAGGGAAGGTTTTCAGGGCTGGATTCCCAAAGGGGTTTAGGTGCCTGTTGAAATCAGTGGGAGTTGGGGGGCTAAAGCCCTGCAGGCTCTGAGCCCAAGCGCCTGGTCCCCAAAGCTCACCTCTTTCTTGGCTGGGTCTACGTCTCCAGGCAGTTCCTCCCTCTGGTTGGTTAGCACTTCTAGAGGGTAGAACTGAGCCACGCCAGCACTCTGGGCCCCAGGGCCGGGAGAGAGAGCTGTCCCGTTCAGATCCTACGCAGGAGAAACACCCCGGAGCACGTCAAGTTCGCTCGCTCAGGAGAGGCATGCCCCCTCTCTGCTGAGACTTTGGTCCTAACTCAGTTAAGGGGCTGCATGAAAGAGCTCCGCGGTCTAGCTGTTCTTGCTGGGATCCCCTCAATTGCATTCAGTCTCCCTGCAGGTCCCCTTACAGTTTCACGTAGCTACACGATCCCATGGCACCTGTACCCAGAAATGGGCTCTTTTTGCTATGCACTGTTAAACCGCTGTTGTGTTCTATCCCAGAGGTGGCTGCATTTCTCTGGCAGGGGAAAGCGTTCCTACATGTGCCATTTGCAATGTGCTTTGGGATCTCTCTAGTTGGAAGGTGCTAGGTAAACGTAGAGGGTTGTTGCTTCAGCTCTCTGAGCACAGCCGTTTGTCTAGGCGCTTAGGGGCTGATTTGTAGCCGTTGTGAGGAGATTAATGGGAGCGGCAGGTGCTCGGCGCTTTAGCCTGGCGGGTGGCTGCCCAGCACAGGGTCTTGCAGGAGAAGGGCAGGAAAGACTCAGTGGATTGGGCACGTAGGAGAGATCGCCCACCACCTAGCTATAAGTTGTAAGTATGGGCACAGTGGGGGCAAGGAGAGACCAGTTAGGGGCGTAGCAGCGTGCAGATTCTCTATTTGACTCCCCAGAGGGCCAGACACCTGCTAACCTGGCAGGAGGGGACATGTCCCACCCCACGCTCTGCAGCAGGGGGAAGACGTGTGGGCAGCTTGCTTCCTAGAAGTCCTCCCTATCTTTGGCCACCTGAGCCGAATCCCATCCAGTTCCGGCCGCCTCCCTCCCACCCCGCGCCACAAACACAACTCACGGCTGTGATCCTGACAACGGCACAAGCATCTCCCAGCTCCTCCTTCAGCTGCTCGTAAGTCTTCCCTTCCTGGAAGGACACAGAAAGCGGAGAACCCCATTAGCCATGGTTATAGCAACAACGGGGGGTGGAGTCTTGCCCTGTTCACGGGGAGGTGCCCCAAGTGGGTGCAGAACTGCCCAGCTGTTGCCGTAGCAGAGCGGGGAATGCCTGCGGTCAACCTGGGAATGCAACTAGAGGAGAGAGCAGCTTGAGTGAATCCCTTGTCAGCGAGTCTCCAAAGCCCGAAGGCCCATTGTGATCATCTAGTCTGACCTGTAACAGGCCAGAAAACTGCCCCAAATAATTCCTAGAGCAGATTGTTCAGAAAAACGGCCAAGCTTGATTTAAAAACAGTCAGTGAAGGAGAATCCACCATGACCCTGGGAAATGGTTCCAGTGGTTAATTACTCTCCCCATTAAAAGCTTTTGCCTTATTTCCTGTCTGAACATGTCTAGCTTCAGCTCCCAGCTGGTGGATCGTGTTCTACCTTTCGCTGTTCGAGTGAAGAGCCCGTGGTTAAATATTCGTTCCCCACGTAGCTACTTAGACGGCGATAAATAGATTGAGCTCTTTGAGTCTATCACTACAAGGCAGGTTTCAAATCCTTTCATCATTCGCGTGGCTCTTCTCTGCCCCATCTCCAATTTATCAACATCCTTCTTGGATTGTGGGCACCAGAACTGGACCCAGGATTCCTGCCGTGGTCGCACTGGTGCCAAATATGGAGGCAAAATAACTTCTCTCTCCTACTCGAGATTCACCTGGTTATGCAGCCCAGGATCCCATTAGATCTTTTGGCCACCGCATCACATTGGGAGCTCATGTTCAGCTGGTTGGCCATCATGCTCCCCAGGATAGAGTCCCCCACACTGTGGGGATGGCCTACCTTCCTTGTTCCTAGATCTTTACATTTAGCCGTATTAAAACGCATGTTGTTTGTTCGCACTCAGTTGACCAAGCGCTCCAGGCTGCCGGAAATGAGTGACCTGTCCTCTTCTCTGGCCCAGCCTTATTCCTTATGTTGCCTTGACTTTCTCCTCCCCTCCTTACATTCTCCATCGTTCCCATGCGAGTGAGAGGGGAGAAGAAACTGGAGACTTGAGTGTGGAGATCAGCCAGGCCTCCAGCCTCCGGAGAAAGGCAGTGGATACTGGGCAGCGGACTCCCCTGTGTGCCTTCAACAATCTCCCCGTTGGGCTCCTTATCAGCAACCACAAAGCCCTCACTGGTCCCTGCTAGTCTAAGGCTCCGTTTCCTTTTCCCCATCTGCTCAAGGCCAGGCCCTGTGTTAGCAGAGAGGAGAGGCAGGTGCCCCGGACGGTGCACTCTGATCCCAGAGCAGCAGATGAGCATGAGAAACCCGGTCCCGTCTCCCGGCTGGAGCCGCCCGCTGCACTCTCCCACCAGAATGCTGTGCTCAGGCTTCCACCTTATTTATACTCACGCTCCATTTGTGTGGGTCCCAGGCTACGAACCACCCTGTGAAGGTGGGGGGCTCAAAGCCCTGCTTGACCACCAAGATGGGCGTGTCAGTGTCTCGCCCGCTGGGGTGGGTGTGGAGATATTCCCAAGCAGTGGCCAGCGCTGCCTCCTTCTCCGTGGCGTTAGCGTCCGTCCCGAGCCACAAGAAGACCTGCAAGGGGAAAAGTCTCACTGGTCAGTGGAACGCAAATTAGCCAGGCACGGGAACGTAGGGTTACCATCCGTCCGTATGTCCCCGGACATGTCCGGCTTTTGCGTCTCTAAATAGCCGTCCGGGAGAAATTGGTAACAAGGTTAAAATGTCCGGGGGGGGTTTTCTCCCTCGCCTCCCTTCCATGCAGAGTGTGGCTGCTGATTGGGC